GCCACGAAATCTTCCCACTTTCATCAACTACTTCAAAGCCGACAAATCCCCGGTGCCAGCTTTCAGGGACTGTGCTACAACCGCAGTCCGTAATGACAGAATATCACTGCGCAGATCTACCAGTTAGTTACGCAAACGCTTGAGAAGAAGTTAGCAGTCTGGAAATGAACCCGAGGCATTATGAAGGATGTTGAGATATTTGTCGAGTACAAAGAAGCGTCCCTGGTAGGGACGTTATACATTCCATATGTGGCACGAAGACATTAGGCGGCAGTTTCAGGCGCAACTGAAGACAAAGTAAGAACAAGATGCGGGGATCTTGCCTCCCTGACGTCCACACCGCCTGAATAATGAATGGTCGACTGTGCATGGCCGCGACGTGAGATATCGTTTCGAGACCAGCACAAAATTTCGCTGGTTTTCACCGCTGCCGTGCGTGTACTGGGCAATGGGCAGACTTTCTCGACGCCCGCAGCTTGAGAGACTAGCTTTTTCGTTTAGTGATAGAGTTTAAATGCTTCTTACAGTAAAACTCAAAATTTACTGTATAAAACATAATAATCGAATTACTAATGTACTGCTCTTGCTTCCATCTTTTCTTCACATCCGCGGTCGGAGAAATTACCCTCGAGGCTGTTCGCTCGTCCGATCATACTAATCTAAGCTATACGCACCTATGTACAGGGTGCGGCGCGGGAACTTACTTATTTGAATTGCGCGCCACGTGGCGGCCATTAGTCCTAGGAAGGTGGCGCCATGCGCAATATGGTGCGCGGGCTATGAAGTTTTTCGTCCACTCAGTTCAGTTGCGACCATGCAGTGGTCGAGAGAGGAGCGCGCGTTCGCAGAAAAATGTATTGAACAGCATGGAGGTCACCTACAAGATGTAATATTCAAGAATTAAACTTGTAAGTAAACCCAACGAAACTTTAAATGTAGCTCTTTGTAAAAAAGAAAGAATTAAAACGCTATCTTTAATACTTTTTACTTTGTGATTTTTTTAAAAGAGTAAGTTCCCACGCCGCACCCTGTATATGGAGGTGTACAGCTCTTAATATCGGCGGCTGATTAACACTACATTCAACACTAACGACTCCGTAAGATTGGTGGTCTTACGGAAACTTGCTAGGCATTCAGGGCCGATTGGTATACAAAATTTGAGGTGCACGACTACGCTCCCAAAGCAGTAATGTCTCGTCAACGCAATAGAGAACGAGACTAACTGCGCAACACAGGATGGCTGTTGTTACTTGTTTACAGCGCAAGGTCGCCTGAAACAGAGGTTACCAGTTTGATGAACTATGAAACTGGTTTAAGCGCTCCCTACATACGCATTCGAAGTTGGCTGCGAACTGAAGAATACAAATCGGGTTCCAATCACTGAAGAGCATTTCCATACTGGTTAACTTTAGTCGGTTCCTAGGAAACGATGCAAACGCAGTATGCTAGACGCACGAGACGAGAGTGACTCCACTAAGCTGCTTAATCAAATTGACACCCATCGCACCTACTAAATATTATTACATTACCAGACACTGGGAGCAATATTGAAGGCGAAGTTACGCCAGACTCCACCTATAATGTAAAGCTGCCCTTCCTACGCTACACCATCTCGAGGTAACGGCGCTACTTCTGAGAGGATTGAACTTTGACTAAATTGATGAAAGCGGCTGAGTGTGGCTCCGGTGATGGTAAAACGCGGACTATAGGGCGTTCCGTCTTGGGACTGAGTTTAAATCTGAGTTGGCCTTAATCTCCCAATTTTGAATTGAAGAAATGAGGAAGGTTGCCCACATCGAATTGCAGTAAATGTTGTGGATTGCAACTGGCCAAATTCTCAACTTGACTTCAAACCAACTACCACTTAACTTCAGACCAAGATCACTTATCCATGGAAGTTGGAGATTTTTCTACATTTCAAACGAGGGATTTAAATTATTCACAATAATCATAAAAAGTGGAAAGGACAATCCTAAGAAATACCAAACAATGAACACTTTGTCTAGGTCTTAAGTTTAGAATGCTAAGCAATGAACATTTGAGATAAGTCTGCATTAATATCCCTACCTAGCATAAAGCGAGTTTTTGGCTCGCTAAGGACGGCATGCTTTCTATGTCTCGTAAAAACCCCCGCGGCGTACGCACTTGCGCTGAGGAACACGTGTAACCATCAAATGTATAAACGCTCCCAAGTGTAGCTTTAGTAATTCTCCCGTTTTACCTTCACTTACTACCGCTCCAGTTGCTTCCTCTAAGGAGTTGAGTTGAACGCTTTGAACCCGGGCTAAAGGGTAACAGAGGGGTTTTGTGAACGTATCTTTGATAATCTCTATAACGCCTACGGCAATTGGGCGATGAGACCCAGACTCGTATCAATTAGTTGCTTGAATAATAAAGTTTAATATAAATTCTGAATGATACAGAACTATGAGAGAGTTTTGTGCCTGCTTTAGTTTATTGGCATCTATCTTGAGACAATTAGGAATTTCAGGTTACCCATCGCATGTCCGAATGCTAGTCTCGCTGAAGGCGAGGCACTAGGTTCACCGACAACAGGCCATAGCCACGCCACAGCCGCCCAGGAGTTGTGGGTTCCAGAGCATCAGGCGAGTCAACTCACGTATATAACGTGCAGCACCATACATCACGTACACTCACTATACTCACGTATATAACGTGCAGCACCATACAACACGTTCACTCACGTATATAACGTGCAGCACCATACATCACGTTCACTTACCATACTCACGTATATACTCAGAAATTGTAGTTTTCGGTGCTTAACTACAGGCTTTCAAATCAAAGAAACTGTCTCCTTCACTCTAAAAATTATTGTCAAGAAGCTGCGTCGACATAATCTGGGGATTTTCCCCAGAACAGATTCAGGTTATTTTTAGTGCAATACACTATAACAGGAATACTCAAGTCGGGTCCTGACCATACTGCCCGGCAGTTGCCGGTCACGGTCCAGTCTATGTAATATTCTTTAATCCAGTTTTATTAAATCCATTCTATTATTCATTATTACATTTCTAAGCCGGCATGCTCATGGTGTGAATGCTTGCATGGAAAATCATTAAATATTATTGGACATGACCGTGACGTATTTGCCTGGCACATGCCCGGATGAATGGCGAGGACCGGGCCTTAAGACTGGCACATGCCCGGCAGTATGCAGTGGACCAGGCCTTGAGACTGGCAGGTGCCCGGCAGTATGCAGTGGACCAGACAAAGCCGAGTGGTGCACGGCTGATTGGTGTATGTCCGGAGAGATCCAAGGCGTTCGATTCAGGGTTAATTGGTGCACAAAATTTGTGGTGCACGGCTGCGCTCCCCTGTAGAACGTAGTTCTGATAGCAGGCTGTTTGCAACTGTTGAACTTGAACGTCACACCAGGTCTAGAGGTACTGTTGAAAGTTACCCCTATGTCCAGCCTAGACTCTTAGAATACAAACGAAGGGAAAATTACAGTAGTAGTGGTCTAATATTAGATGAATTTATGAGTTGGTCCGTTTATCAAGGAGGGAGCATCAGAGGTCAGTTAGCTTTGCGGGGTATAGTATACTGTACAGTATTGCGACTGAGGCACGCACAACCCCTCCCCTCCCTCTTTCTGTAATGTCACCATCCTCACAATGGGTGAAACCCATTGGCGTGAGACTCGACTGAAGAAAATTAGTTCTGACCAAGAATGAGGAAAAAATAAAACAAAAAAAATATATCCACCAAGAACGAAGATCGCCCAACGACATGGAAGACGTCTGCTTTCGGCTTCACGGGAGAAGAAATAAGCTACCTTCAGAGCAGAGGCGCAACCTCATTGGAAATTATAACTTTATTTCTTGTGAACAAATGAATTGAACAGAAGATGATAAACCCACCTAATTTATGAATCTAACGGACAGCACATCGAGTAAATGAGAATTGAAATATCAAAAGCCCAGTGGTGGTGGCAGGGTGGCCCAGTGGTTAAAGTTCAGAGTACCAGGATTGGAGCTGAGAGGCGCGGGTTCGATCCCAGCTCTGTGCGCCAGTTTCTGGTCAGAACCGGCTAAGAGGCCAGGCGGTTAAGCACAGCAGAATTGTAGCAGAGAGTTGCGAGTTCGAGACCGCAAAATTCTGTGAATGTTCTGCGATGTTCAGAATCAGCGACAGGCCTACGGCGTCATAAACGCTTAAACCGTTAAAACACACCGAGAAGGAAGCAACAGAGAAGAAGCGAAGTGGAGAGTATAGTGCCGACTAGGAAGTTTATACAAAGTAGGTTAATTGTACCTATAAGGCTACACATGGTTGAGGGCTATGTAACGCACGCCTGTGTAATAACGGTAGTGCTTTTAGCGTTAGACCTACACACAGACGTGACTTTGCTGTAGCGTCAACACTCAACCGGCATTGTTCGTACTTCGTTTATACGTGGCGGCGGCGCAGCGAGGTAAGGACCGGTCAATGTTTATGGCCACATCTTCTATTGAGCTGAATCATATATGCTACTTATATGCGACATGTAATAGGATTCATTTGTTTTACCGAATTTTGTTCTACCCATAGGAAAGTTTCAATTCTGACTTAACAGAACACGTTTCCTTACCAATTCTCACTGTTGTGCGTGTTATGATGTAGGAATAAGTGATCTTGTAATTTAGTCTCTAGTAAATAAACGGTTTTTGAGTGTGGCTTATCTTTACCATTGATGGGAGTATGTCGCGACGGCTCGCAAAACTGTTAAATGAATTCGTGCAGTTTTGTGGCCCTAGGATGGGGTTAGGTATTTCAGACGCTACGCCTATTCTCTGAGTATGTAGCCATGTTTTGTTATATTCGCTTCTATACATTTCTTCTGTGGATTTTTTTCCACTTTCTTTTGCATTTTTTCTTTGCCTTTTTCTTTGTGTGTACACTACAAGCGTGGTAAATCATTTAAATCAGCTTTAATCATTAAAGCTGATTAAGCTTTGAAATTTAAATCAGCATAGATTTTAAAACTCGACAGATTGGAACACTAACTTCAGGGAAACCGTGCCGGTTCGCGATGCTCTGAGAGTGAGACCGCTGGCGGAGAATGAAGCAAGTGCCTATCATCTTAGAAGGCTTTTTCAGATAATGCCGAGGTAAATTATGAGAGTAGATGGGCTGAATATAGGAAGTGTCACGTTCGCTGGTAGAATATCTTAGTCCCAGCTAAGGAGGAAGCTGGGGCAGAGAGACGAGACTAGAGATTTTGGGAACTGTATTCGGTTAAATCTAATATACAACTGAAGGACAAAGGTTTGCTGGCTTTACATTACGTCCGCTTCTTGATTTCACTTCGTGAGATATAGCTTGTTCCTGAGAAGTTGTTGGTAGAGTTGACGTCGATTATTATTCAACATTATTATCGTCGATTATTATTCTTTCGTCAATTATCATTATTATCGTCGATTATTATTCTTTCTCCTCAAAATTAGGCAGTCTTCGATGGTCATTTCATCCCTGAAGTTGTAGTATGGTAATAGGTCCTTGGAAAATTTTTCTTTATTCTCTGGCCATCTTCTGGCAATAACCTCCTTCAACCTCGTCATAGTTGGGTCACTCATCGTAACTCTCTCGATCTGTTGGAATCTGTTTTCGTAAATGGGAGTCTTTTCAAGATTTCCGGTCACATACATGCTCGCATTCTCCTACTAGGCTTCTTAATAGTGCGTCTGCTGTAGGCATTTTCGTTCCTGGTTTGGACTCCAATATGTGTAGTCATATTCATGAATCTTCAATAACACAAATTGCATTTTTTTGAGGGCTTTCGAAAGGGGTTTTATTGCTATGCTCGTCAGTGGTTTGTGATCCGTCACAATTTTCACTCTTTATCCGTACGCATAATGATGAAACTTCTTCAATCTAAAAAAAATCGCTATCATTTCTTTCTGAATTTGCGCGTAGTTGCGTTCACAGTCGCTTAATGTTCTGCTGGCGTAGGCAATGGGCTTTCCGTCTTGAAGTAGGACAGTTCCTAAGCCAAACTCAGATGCATCATTTTCTAGGGTTAGTTCTTCTTCTGGATCATACATAGCTAGTCGTGCGTTTTCACTAATACGTTTCTTGCTTTCGACGAATGACTTCTTATGAGAGTTTGACCAATTCCACTGTACTTCATTCTTGATGAGGTTGTGTTAAGGGTGTAAGACATCGCTCAAGTTATGGATGTATTTTCCTAACAAATTCACCATTCCTATGAAACTTCGTAATTTAGACACGTTTGACTATCGTGGAAATTCTTCTATAGCTCTGATCTTCTCGTAGTCTGGTTCAAGTCCGTTTTTTTATATCTTGTGTCCCATGAAGGTCACCGAGCCTACGTTGAATTTAGTCTTGTTTCTGTTGAGTCTTATTCCTTGCTCCTCACATCGTTTAGCGAGCTTTATCCCATTATCGTTTTCCAAGGTTGTAGGGCCGAGAACTATGTTGTCGTCGGCAATGCACATTACTCCCTTATTGAGGCGTGATAAAGCGTCATATAGTTTCTTCTGAAATATTTCCGCGCTAGTGGAGATCCAAGTGGTAATCTGAGCCATCTGTATCTGCCATGAGGTGTCTGAAAAGTCGTAAGCTTGCTAGATGTCTCGTCGAGTCTTGCATGCCACTATCCTGCTGCTAGATCCTGACTTGCTGAACACTTTGGAAGAGCTTAATTCATGAAGCGCGTCGTCAATAATCGGAAGGGTATTTCTTTCTCTCACTATTACTTTGTTTAGTTCCCTTGGGTCGATGCTCCTCCTTGTCCATTGTCCTCCTTGGTCCCTTGGGTCGATGCTCCTCGTTTTACTACTCCTTCTCTCTTCTTCGTTATTGCGATTTGGCTTACCCATTCTGTTGCTTTCCTCAACAGGGGGTTATGACTCAACTTCTCAAGTCTTTCTAACTCCGCTTTCAGTTTTGGTTTCAATGCAATGTGATTTCTTCAGTCTAGCATTATGCAGGGATGGGCATCTGCTTTTATTTGCAATTGATGGATGCCGGGAAACGTTCTAGGTCGTCGTTGAATATACCAGGATTATCTTGTCCGTCTATTTTGTTGGTTCTTTGGAAGTTCCTTTCTTTCAGTTCTGGTAGCTTCATTTGCTGGCTTGCTCCGAGTCCTAAAATTGGTGTGTAGTGTTCTTCGCTGATCACAAAATTTACGTTAGATTTTTTCATGTTTTTCTGGTTCCGCTCCATTACACGACACTCTCCTAATGGGGCATAATTCTCTTTGGTCCAGGTTTTGAGCACAATATTTGTTCCATTTACTGTTTCGTGTTTTACGTAGTTCCTGGGAAGAATATTAGGAACCAGTATCTATTTGGAACTTCACCGTCCTATTTTCGATCTCCTTTGCGCATTTAACCATCTTCTCGCTGTTGCAATTCGGTGCGACGAGACTGTTGATCCATTTTTCCGACTTCGATTCTGTGCTTCCTTCTAAGTGGTTGACTTTGTTTTTACTTGGCATATCCCTCAGTAACGATTTTCACAAGCACATTGAAACAAAATGATTCTTCCTGCTTTTATTTGTACATTTCTTTGTACATTTCTTTCCATATGTTGGGTATTTGATCTTCTCGAATTGGTGGTGCCTTCCACAAAATTTACCCTGTCGCTTTTTCCGATGATTCGCTGAAGCTTCTTTCTTGGATTCAATCACTTTGTTAACTTCTGGGCGTACTGTTTTATTATGGGCGATTTTCATTTGCTACATATGTCCACCGTTTTCTCTAGCGTTAAATTGCGTGTCTTCAATTAATAGTTCTTTTTTAATGTTTGCATAATGTATTCCTAAAATAATTCTATCTTTCAGCAGTGACGTTTCGCAGTTGTCGCAGTAGTTGCACGTCTTAATTAATCTCTGAAATTCGGCGTAGAAAAGTTCGAATCAATCTCCTTCTTGGTTTCTTCTGTTGAACATAAAACGTTTGTATGTTTCGTTAGCTTCTCCGCTGATGAAGTTGTCGAACGCTCGAATAATCTGGTTGACTATCGCGTCTTCAGCCAGTTGGAATGTGTTGTATGCATCCAGGGCGTCATCGTCAAGGCATTGAATGAAAAGTGCTCTCTGCTTTACTGTGGAGATTGAGCTAATCAGTCCGTAATCATGATTTCCCCCCAGCGTTATTTGAAAAATTTTTCAATTCTTCACTGCGTTTTTCCCGAAATTCATGCGGTCGGGCATTTTCAATGCCGCTTTTTTCGTGTAGGTGGGTTGCGAGTTGCTCTCTCCAATCTACACAATTAATTAATACTGTCCGCTGCTACCGTGTTACGTTCGATGGTTGAATATCATCTGAGTCCCAGATGATATTGGCCATGGGCCTATTTCTTCAACGCCGACACTTCTATTCTATTCTAAGTGTACCTGATCGTGGAATGAAAGTCGGGTAACTTTTTGCACAAGGGAGTCCACAGGACAAAGAAGGGACTGAAAAACTAAAAACCAATTGCTCTTACCGACACCTGTAACAAGATTTTCTGTGCAGTTATGAATGAGCGAATGCAAATATATGTATGCATGGAGCGTGAAAGAATACTTGGTGAGGAGCAGAATGGCTTCAGGTGTGACAGAAGATAACTTACATTTTGTGAATGAATTGATTGAAAGAATGAGGAGAGATTATAGGAGTCTATTTGGCGTTCATAGATATAGAAAAAGCGTGTTATAGAGTTAACAGAAAATTTTTGTGGCAGATGTTGGACAAAATTGGTGTGAGTGAAAAGTATGTGAGGAGTTGAAAGTATGTATGTAAACACTCGAGAATAATTTTTTAATATAGCGCAAGAATGCGCATTGATCAAGGCTCACGAATTCATTGCCTCTAAATCTTCATTGTACAATTGTGGCGCATTTCAGATCAGTGTCCAAACAGTGGGACAGAACCGAAAGTAATTCATCCACAACGTCTTTGGAGCAGGAGAGAGCCAAGCAGAGGTCTATATGAAGTCTGTGTCCAAGATCATTAAGAAGATCCACAATGGTAAGTACAGTATAGTATCTTCGGCATTGAAGAATATGCCTTGATAGGCCTGTCGCCGATTCTAATATTTTTTTTTACTAGACTGGCCTTTTGATCAAATCATTTCCACGGACGGTAGGTTTAAAAATAGATTCTAGATTTCAGTTGTTCCATAGGATACGAGGCATTTCGGGACTAAACATGTGCTCCTGCATGGCTTTGTCTAGTCTGTTCTTGAACGCGTACATACTCGGAGCGTCAACAATATATATCTTCAGGGAGGCTGTTCCACGTGTCGGTGACACCACGCGAGAAGTGTTGTCGCATGGATGAGTTGCACCGCAGCTTTTTTAGTTTATAGCTGTGGCCCCTGGTGTTGGTTCTTGTTTCAAATTCTAGTAATCATTCTGGGACCTTGTATAAACCATGAGTACACTTGTATACTTCAATGAGGTCACCACGCAGGCGACGATAACGGAGACTGGGAAGCTTCATTTTCCCCCTGTGATTTTTATGAAGTTTCTCTGTAATACAAATAATGTCACTACACTCGTTAGCGATCACAGTTAACAGTTCATTTCTTTTGTTCAAAACGGAATCAAAGTTCGTGTAAGAATATTTCAAAACTTTTTGTGCACTTCCAGTTTGATTTATGAGTAGACTTTTTACCTTATTTCCTGAACATGAATTTATGTACATGATTTCCACTATTCAATGTACCTAGCTTTCAATCCATGTATATATTGCTTGTAATTTTAAGAAATAGTGTACATATACATGTTAGTGTAGGCCAGTGGTTCCCAATGTGGGTGATATCGCCCCCCTGTGGGTGGTGGAAAGATCTGGAGGGAGGCGGTGAGGAGGAAAGGATCAGCGGGGGGCTGCAGTCCGCGAAATCGAAGTCAGAAGTTCGTACGTTTGTTTGACGATTTGTACACATCACATACTGAACATGACTTCGACTCGAATAAATTTTCACGAGCTAAACAACATAGTTAGGTCCTAATGAATACGTGTTCCAAATTTTATCGAGCTGCGTTCATTAGTTAGGGAGATATTCCTTGGTCACTGAATTTAGAGAGTGGCTGCGAGACCGGCTGCAAGACCGGCTACGAGTCCGGTCGTAAATTTGTCCGAGCCGTCTTGAATTTCTAGTGCTGAAACAGTTAAAACTGTGAAAAAAATATATTGATTTACTAAATGGGGTTCTATTTCTGGAATACACATTTGTGTTCAATCTTTCTCTTTTAAAATTGCAGCGTGCTAAATAGCAAGAAAGAGGCGTTTGTTTTTATATGTGTCTATCGCGGATGGGGGGGGGGGGCGCTAGAGATTCACTGGGGAGCCAAAGGGGGCGCCAGCCTGAAAAAGTTTGGGAACCACTGCTGTAGGAATTTAGATACCGTAGCTTACTCCATTCAACTTTCCAATGCATTCAACTTGTAGGTTTGAACATATATTTCTTAAATTACAGTAATTCAGCTTTAAAATTATTAATTAAATTCTGGATGATGGGATGACGGGATTCAGAATATTTTTTTACTGATTTTCTATTTTGGGCTGTTGCCGGCGCATTTGCGGGTGAGGTCAATCCTATGTGACCTATTTATGTCTGTCAAGCAACTAACCTTAGTAAATTATTAATATATATTTATGGCATTAAATATTTAAATGAATGAACTAAAAGAAATAAATTTGGTTCATTGATTTGTTTTATTTAATAGCCAACCTATTTTGAACACAATATTCTGTTGTTCAAACAAAAGGTTGACTTTGGGTACGCACACAGTGAAAGCAGGTTTGCCCGCGCGGGCAACCTGCTCCAACCTGCCACAAGAATGAACATAGGATAATAATGTAAGTGTTCACAGTAGAAGCCTGTACGAATAGGCTTCTGTATTCTATGGGTACGCACACAGTGAAAGCAGGTTGCCAGCGTGCTGGTTACCTGCTCAGGCTGGCGCCTGAAATCATAGAATACAAAAGCCTGTTTGTACAGGTTTTCACTGTGAACACTTACATTATTATCCTATGTTCATTCTTGTGACAGGTTGGAGCAGGTTGCCCGCGCGGGCAAACCTGCTTTCACTGTGTGCGTACCCTATGGTTTCAGGCGCCAGCCTGAGCAGGTAACCAGCACGCTGGCAACCTGCTTTCACTGTGTGCGTACCCTAAGAAAAGATGACTATAAAATGTTTTTGGTGTTCTATCCTGCTTATAATACAGCGTTTGGTACACTGGTGTCCAATACGCGGCAGTGGAATATCATTGTTGGGACACATACGGCCCAATACGCGGGGAAGAATTATTTTATTTGTATTAAAAATTATTATGCGTGTGCAGCTCTACGGGAAACTCTTCGTAGACTTGCTGCCATCGGCCCACCGGATAGAAACATCCCAGAAATCCATGAAATCGAGGGTGGCGGGATCAAGTTGACGGGCGTAACTGAGGTGCCGGAAACAAAAGTGGAGGAGACTATGCGGTACGGCAAGTCAGTACCAATGCGGGCAAATGTTGTCCACAATTATTTAGATTTATTATACGGCCACTATACTTTCTTTCTTTGTCTCTCTTTCAATATTGAAAAAATTATAAAAAATTTATCTGCAACAAATATAATAATTGAGATTTGACACACGTCTACCTGTCAAATCGATCTGAAATTTCGCACACTTGCGTAAAGTCGGAGACAATGCATGATTTAATTGACACTAGATTCTTTAAAAATGTTGTCTTGAAAAAGTAATTATTAAACTCATATTTTTATATTCATGTTGAGCAGGGATCTCGCCACCGAACCACCGGCTCGACGGCTATGAATAGCAGAAGCAGCCGATCTCAAGCCTTCATCCGCATACAGCTGCAGCAGCGGAATAAACAGAATGCGTGGGTTAGTTTTCACTCGTATTCTTCTTTGTTAACTGGCCATTGAAAAGCAGATAGAATAGAAGTGTCGGCACTAAAGAAGTGGGCTTTCCAGATCTTTCCATAACATTCATTGATCATAACATAACATTCCGAATCAACATAACATTCATTGTTCTCTGTTTGTTCTGTCAATCGAATTCTGCATGAATGCTGATGTGACTAATTTTTGCAGCGACTTCATAGTGTCCACAAAGTTCCAGCTGGTGGACCTCGCTAGAAGCGAATCCGCCAAAGAGACCGGCGCTGAGGGGTCCTAAAAGAAGCTCTTGGCATCAACCGGGGTCTTCTGACCCTTGGAAAAGTCAGTAGAGCCGCCGCAGCAAAGCAGAGTTCGATTCCTTTCAGAGAATCTGAATTCACCTGGCTATTACAAGGTCAGACTTGACCAACAATAATAGCCTTCTTTGTTAAGGTCAGACTCGTTTTCATTTACAGGAATGAAATTGATGCTGTGTTTCAGCTCATTTTCATTTGTATTATAGTCCATTCATGACATTCATGTACATTGTACATGGTAATTGAATGTCTTAATCATTTTAATGGATTTTAAAGTCTTAAATTTATTTCTTGAATATTCTTGTAATTGTTCTACAAAAACATATTTCATTTCTGCAGACTATTGGTGGCCAGGCCACTGCCTCATGGTGGCGTGCGCGTCGCCTATACAGACAGCTCCCTGTCCGAGACAGCATAAACGCTCGACTTCGCCGACAACGCGGCGAATTAATTATTCACAAAAGGACTTCATGATTGATCGCCTCAGATAAATGGCACAGACTTTGTGGTTTCATCTTGTACAAATAACTTTGATGGTTGCTTGAAAAGTCCAGTCATATAATTTTCTTTTAAATTTAAGAGCAATTTCATCCCTTGTTGATAGCAAATTTAAGAAAGTTTGCTCATACTTTTTTTAGTTGTAATTTTTTCGAAACCTGTTATAACAAAATATTTATAAGTCACACTATACAGTGGGGGGAAATAAATATTCGTACACTTAAAAATCGTATTTTAATGTATGTAAGTACACAAACTTAACAGGAAAAGTGATTTAATTTGTGTCTAGAGACGCATAGTTTTCAAAAATACTATCAAAAGAAATTAAATCTCAATGCAACAAAAAACAATGCAACATGTTCACTTCTTCGGGTGAAAAAAGTATTCGATGTTGCATTGAGATTTAATTTCTTTTGATAGTATTTTTGAATACTATGCGTCTCTATACATAATTTAAATCACTTTTCCTGTTAAGTTTGTGTATTTACATACATTAAAATACGATTTTTCAAGTGTACGAATATTTATTTCCCCCCACTGTATGTTATAGTGAACGTCAGAAAATGAACCTTCTTTCTTTCGTTTGCAATTAAGCGCATTGTTCTGGCTTTGCAACTTTTTGAGCTGTGAGCGTTTCCGCAAACTCATTTTTTTACAAAATTATTTGAGCAGGAATTCTTTGCGGGGGGGGAGGTAAGGAGTGAATGTTGAATCGAGTGTTGATTTTGTTCACAAAATATGCGGTCATGTCTGTGCCAATAGTAAATTTACTCTTGAATTTCAGGTGGAAATTAAGATTTGCAGGACAAGGCAGGGCAGCTCGAGGTTAGAGTGGCGCAGCAGGATACAGTCATGGCTCCCTTAGACAAGAGCAAGAGGTACAGTCTTTGTTGGTTCTTGTGGTTTTTTGTACAGAAAACTTTCATGGTTGCTTGAAAAGTCCAATAATTCCTAAGTAATAATATGTAATAAGTAATAATTAGTGAAGTTCCCTTGTTGATAGCAAATTTTAGAAAGTTTGCTCACAACATTTTGGGTTTTAATTTTTTTGAAACTTTTGTACAGAAAACTTTGCGACGAGAGCACCCGGTCGACGGAAACACGCCACTGGCGGACCCGGTTGACGGAAACGAGCCACTGCCTGACCCCGGCGACGAGAGCGCACCACCACCTATTCTACTCCGACGAGCCGCCTTCAGCCGAGGAGTGAGTTATTTTTTATGCTATTGTTCGTAGGGTTATCGGTTTTGTATCCTTAGTATTTGTTTCGGACGTGGCAGTCACAGGCCACGAGGGATCGCCGCCTCTTATTATCGCTCATCCGTGCTCATTTGGGCCAGGCGATGCACGATGCTGTTGCTTGTTTCCCGCCGTCGGTAGTGGTGCTGGAACGGTCGATCAGGGATTGTGCCCAGGAACACGTCCTGTCGTCTGTTGAAGGTCTCCAGGGGTAACAACCCCTCTCTCAGATCCTTTGGTAGGACGTTAAACAATTTCGGTCCTGCCACGGAATGGGATCCTTCCCGCAGGGATTGAAATCTGACTGCAGATCTGTTACGTAGTGGGGGAATCTTGCACAGTCTCCTCTTCTTTCGTTATGGGATGTCTCAAGCTTGAAGGTCTCGCTTTCGAAGTTTGGTGTCATTCCGATTATCATTTTCCATGTGCACAGAATGACATACTTCTCCCGTCTCCTCTGCAGTGAGTACTGACACAGTCGCTGCAACCTCTCCCAGTAGTTTAACTCCTCCATCCATCTGAACCTGTAAGTGAAGGTTCGTTGCCTCGTTGGACCCCTTCCAGTTGCCGTACTGCGCCCAGTGTCCAGATGGGGTCCAGAGCTGCCAGCAGTATTCAAGGATAGGTATTACAAGGGATCTGAAGACACTCTTCAGAACCCTTCGGTTCAGCTTCTCTCGTTCTGATCGTCCCACATCCACCCCATCTGTCGCCTACCTCTTGCGGTTATTGCCGCTATGTGATCACCAAAATTTACCTGATTGTTCATCAACACTCGTTGATCGCGAACGAGTCGCTTCTCTTCGATTTCCGAGTTGTTACATATGTGCCAGGTAGCATGCAGTGCTCAATTCCGATTCTTCTGTACCTCAGAACCACAAACTTGGTTCAAACTACTGTATGTAGTATTGTAATTTTGTGTGCTTTTCAGTCGTGTACTATGTCGTTTTACGCCTTATTTTTTTTCGCAGCTCCAACATGTTCAAATGCTCACACACTTACTGCAATTACACATCCTCCAGAAAATATAATTTGAAAACGCGCACATCAACGCAATACACACACATGAACACAACATATACAGATGCCAATGCGGAGAAGAAGACATCCTGCCTTCGAATATGACTGTGCATAAAAAAATGTGTAAGTATTAGTAAATTCATATTTTTAATGTTCAGTTCAAATGAATATGTCTAATCTTTAGTTGTTTAAATTAAGATGATGTATATAAAAAATTTTTATTACCATTTCAATTTTGTCATATTGATATTTCGAGCTTTTCTTTTATTTCGCTTTTTTCTTTCGGTTATGAAAGAATTTAATTCTTACAGGCCAGAGAACGATTATGAAGATCTTCTTGGGTGGAGCCACCCAACAGCCCCAGCAACCGTTTGGACGAAGATTCGGATCAAGACGTGGATTTTGGACATCGATGAGCGCACCCTCCCCTACAGCGAACATGGATATCCATGAGCGAACCATCTCCTACACGTAGAACTGGTTATTTAGACGCAATTAATTTGTTGTAGTGCGGGTATAAGTACATTATTAGGTCAGCATTTAAAGCCGATTCTTTTCAACGAAATATTTCGGAAAGGGAATGCGTAGATTTTGGCGAATAGCCAATTCTTCCATTTGAGCTAAAAAAGCTCTAAGTTCCGGTTTGGATGCTCTGGAACCCAACAACTGCTCCTGTAACTAACAAATTTTCGACTAACAGCGTTGCTTTGCAAATTTCGGCACTCGCCACTTTGTTGCATGACGGCTCTTACTTTCTGTTTGCTATAATTTTTAACATGGTATATTCATTTTATAGAAACCGATTTTAAAACGAAGTTCAACGAAACTCGTTTTCAAACCCAATCCTGAACTAATGAAGCTTACAGATTCAAAAATAAGAACACTGCAGGACTTCGAAGTTGAGAGAACCAGCAATGCATCATGCTCCACCTGCATCACGCCCTTCCCGCTCGGCTCGTTCGCATCGTTCAACAGCCTCGAGTACTCAAGTCCGCACGATGTCGCCTTGCGGAAAAGAGGGCCATGTTAAAGGCGAATGAGCTAGAGTTTGAAGAAAAAATTGGCCGCAATTCTTGGACGCAAGCAGAGAGTAACTTAGAGTTCCAAACACCCATCAACCCAGGCAGCAGCTTCGTCGCCTGCGCCTAGTTAATAAAGCACTTTACTAGGAAATAATTAGCGCCTTGTAGCACGTTCATAAGCATACAACATTCGCATTATTATTATTAACCACCTGAATAACGAATAGTAGACTGCATATGGCCGAGACGTGATATCGTTTCGAGACCAGCACAAATCTTCGCTGTTGTCCCGCTGCCGTGCGTGAATTGGGCAATGGGCAGACTTCTCGACGCCCGCAGCTTGAGAGACTGGCTTTTTCATTTAAGGATTCCGATTAAATGCTTCTTACAGTAAAACGCTTCAAATTTACGGGAGCAACCATAATGATCTGACTTGCTAATGTAATGTTTGTTGCCATCTTTTCTTCACGTCCGCGGTCAGAGAAATTACCCTCGAGCCCATTCGCTCGTCCGATCATACTAATTTAGACTATTCACACCCGTGTATGGAGGTGTAAAGCTCTTAATATCGGCGGCTGATTGGTGGTCTTACGGAAACTTGCTAGGCATTCAGTGCCGATTGGTGTACAAAATTTGGGTGCACGGCTACGCTCCCAAAGCAGTAATGTCTCGTCAACCCAATGGAGAAAGAGACCAACTGCGTAACACGGGATGGCTGTTGTTTACAGCACAAGGTCGCCTGAAATAGAGGTTTCCAGTCTGATGAACGATGAAACAGGTTCAAGCGCTATATATTATACTTTTAGAAGTTTTTTAATCCATGTCGTCCGAGAAATTATTGTCACTAAAAATAAATTTCGAGACTATTGTCTATATTTACCTACATACGTCAAGGGCTTAAGTGTAGAAATATTTGCACAAAACGTGTCCCATTTTGAGGTTTTTCAACGGTTTATTCGAAGTTGACTGGGAACTGAAGAATACAAATCTGGTTCCAATCACTGAAGAGCATTTCCATACTGGTTACCTTTGGTCGGTGACTAGGAAACGCACTGTGCTAGACGCACTCAAGAATTTTCCTGATGAACAAGATATTGTACTACTAAATTATTATACCTTCAGAGAGGGGAAAGTCTGCTTGAAGCCTGCAACAAATTGCGAATAACTAGCGACGCGAGTGACTCCACTTAGCTGGTTAATAAAATTTATACCCATCGTACCCAAGATATATTTTTACATTGACCAGACCCTGTCAGCAAAATTGAAGGCGACGTTGCGCCATAATTCAACTGTAATGTAAAGCTGCCCTTCCTACGCTACACTATCTCGAGCAACGGCGATACTTCTGAGAGGATTTGATTAAATCGATGAAAGCGGCAGAATGTGGCTCCGGTGATGGTAAAACGGGGACCATCAGGCGTGCCGTCTTAAGACTCAGTTTAAATCTGAGTTGGCCTTAATCTCCAAATTACAAATAGAAGAAAAAAGGAAAGTTGCCTACATCGAATTACAAGAAATGTTGCGG